TATTATAAGAGTAATGAATGTAAATACTTCCAAGGGTTTTATTAACAAAAATTAATCAAATTAAATTATAAAAAATATTTGTATACTCTATCTTAATTGCTTAAAATTTTTATTAGGGTTTAGCTATAACTTGGATTGAAGACCAAAAAACTTCAGTTTTGGCATCTAATTTCCATTTACTATCATAGTTTTAGAACTACATTATTTAAACTTTCAACTTTAATTATCCTCTGAGGCGAATAATTCGAATATATCTATCATGGCCATTATGATACAGTTAACGGATAAAGCTCGAAAGTATTAGCTAATTGAATTAATTTATAATGAAATATATAGATCAGAAACTCATTTGTTAGCTAAAATTTTACAGCTTTAGCCGTTAACAGCGGGTTTTGGTCATCAAAAATATACTCATATTATTCGATCAAGAGGATAGTGTTGATATTTTGTAACTACTTTATTATCAGCCCAACTCTAAGGCTATTTTTATTTGATATTTTATTTTCGTATCAAAAGTAGCATAAAATTCGATTCTAATATTAGCTTATTTTGTTAGTATCTAATACTTCGAATTACTTTACAGGATAGAAAACAAATAAAAATGTTGAAAATTGTCATAAATCCAGATTATATAACGGCTTATTATTAATTAGCATTAATTAAAATATAAGCCTTGTATAAGATTTATTAAATAATCATTAACTTTTATAGTAAGATGTCGCATTATCCAAAAAAACAAAAACTTACTTACATTCTTAAGAAACTATTTTAGTTAAATCAAATGATTAAACTCCTTCAAGTACTAAAACGACAAAACAATCAAGTTGACGTTTAAATAAGCTGTTTTTATTTATTAATTCATTCAATTGTAAAATCCTATCAACTATATCAATTATTCTCCTTTTTTTCAGTATGAGGTTGTTGGATATAACTTTTCCTTTCCTCCGTTAATTTCCAAGTCTTAGGATACTGCCATTCTAAATTAGACATAGGGAATTCATTAAAACCTAATAACAAAGTTGGAACATTTGTAACATCGCTTTGTATTAAATGGAGCTTGTTTATTTCTGAATCCAGATTAATTTCCATATCCTTGATTTCTTTAATAAATTGATTAATTTTTTGTAATCTTCCAATCTCTTTTATTTTTTCATTCTCAGCACCTTTCTGATAACTAAATGCTCCCTCTCTCACTTGACTAAATGCTCTTTTTAACTTATCATTCATATTTAATACATCTTCAAGCCTTTCTTCATTATTTTCTACGCTCAAAATACCACTTCCACTAATATATTCTCTGATTGACTCGACTTTATTCTTAATACATTCCAACGATGCCCTTTGTTCATCAATATGACTATCCACTTCCTTATTCCCAAATTTACAATAATTCAAAGCATGCTCGGTGAGTTCTAATCCTTTTGTTATTATTTGCTGCTTAAACTCCGCATGTGCTTTTTTCATTTCATCATACTCACTTAATTCGGATAGATTCATTATTTCTATACCATTTATTCTAGAAATTTTATTCTTTATCGCTCTTTCTAAGCTATGAGACATTTCTAATGCCTTTTGTTTTAACTCTTCACTTTGTTTTCTATACTCATCTAAACTTTGATCGTTCATTTCTTCTACCTTTTTAAAAACTACTTCCAATTGAGTTTGGGTTCTATAAATTTCTTTTCTAAACTCTTCAACCTTTACTTTTGTAATTTCCCTTTGTTTTAGATTTTCCTCTTTTATCTTCGCCCTCACCTCTTCCAATTTAGTAATATTCAAACCTATGCCACTCACAATATTATTATCCATCCTATTTAATTTAGAACTCATAACTTCCCTTTGCCATTTTACCTAATAAAGTTAAGTTTTTTAATTAAAATAAACTTAGTTTGTTACCATATCTCTATATGCTTTGTTCTCCACCTCTTTCTTCCTCGTAAGATCTAAAACCTTTTCCAACTGATCTTTCATATGGTTTAACAAATCGCCACTCTTATTTTTAATTTCAGAGTTCATCTCGCTCATATACCTATTTACTTGTCCATTATGAAATTCAATATCGGCCTCTAAATCTTTGATCTCTTTTAATATACCATCATCATTATTTCTTCCATCCTTTTCTTCGATACCTTGGCACTAAAATGTTATTAATTGACTCTTTAATAAGGTTAATTAAACTTACCATTTCCAATCCATACTCAATTTCAGCTACTTTAGATTCAAAGAAACTCATCTGATTACAATAAGTTTCTTGATAATCATTCATACTATTTATGATCTTTTCAATTTCTTGTTTCCGATTACCTTTAGTCTCTTTTTGGCCTAAGCTCCTATTTTTAGTAGAATCTCCTTTAAATAAATTAAATTATTAAAATATTAATAACTAGATATTTTACCCAAATATTTTTTAATAGCTTTTATCCTTTCATCCCTGTCCTTCACTTCTTTTGCTAGACTGTCTGCTATCGAATGCAACTCTGATTCATTTTTCTTATATTGTTCAATAATCTTTTGAGAAGCGAACAGTTTTGTTGTTAGCTTTTTAATCTCTTCATTCTTTACTTTCAGTATGCGTTCTTCTTTTAGGAATAATTTTTGAGCATGCTCGTATTCTTGCTTCAAATGATCATAACTCTGTTTCAACCTATTATCTGAAACACCACTCAATTCTTTGGCAACTAAATTATCATTTGAGTAGTTGGACTTATTTCTACTTACTGCTTTGTTTTCGCTTTTGAGTTTCTAGATTAAATTGATACTGAATTCTAATTATGCATAAATCTTCTTACTTTTAATTCTTGTTTTAGTTGACTGTTCTCCTCATTTAACATTTTGTTCTCTTCTCTTGCAAGTTCTCTTTCATTTTTGAGTTTCTAGATTAAATTAATTTTATTTTCTAATCATGTATATATTTGCTTACATTGTAATCTTGTTTCAGAATATTATTTTCCTTTTCCAAGACTAAAAGCCTAGAGCTTTCATCCTTTTGTGAATTCGTGCCATCCATATTTCTCCTTATGTTGATTAGTATTATATTATTTTAAAAATAAAAGTAATCACTTCAAAAAATAAATCAAACCCTTTGTTTATTTTCAACTTTGAAGTATTCGATTTTTAGCAAATTAAACTCCATAATCATTGAATGAAATTTTCATCATTATAAAATAGGCTAAAATAATCACTAAAATAAACGATATATAAAATAATGATAAATATACAACAAAATATTTCATTTTTATTAAAATAAATTAAATCTAAAGATTCCTATTAACATCTGCTAGTTCATTGGTTAGTTAACTCCAGAACAAAAGCTGTCAAAGACACTGCTTAACTAAATAATACACTAAAATTAGATAATAAAACTAGAGCCAATGGCTTAGTTTTTCACATAATAACTCATACGTCAGTAAAGTTAAGGTGGTACTTGGTACCGTCCTTAATAAATTAGTAGGAAACCCTTTATAAAAAGCAGAAGCTCCTTCTTCTTTAAATATAGTGAGACAGGCATGTCTCACCCCGAGATATTTGTACGGTGGTTTCGTCTGATTTTGTAATCGAGTTCGAACCACTTCATGAGGATATGTACATAGAGAAGCGGCCATAATGGAAATAGATGAGGCCATTAATATCGTTCCTTTAGCTATTTTTCCATCATTGTTATCATTAGGAGCTTGAAATGGGTTATTAAATTTTAGAATCTCTTAAATATCATTAATTTTACCAAATTTCACTTTCAGTCTTTCGTAAAGTGGAAATTGAACAATGACATGAGATACACCTATTAAAGAAGGTACTAACCCTCTATAAAATCCAGAAATTCCTTCTTGTAACCATATTTTTTTAAAGGCATCTATGGTGCCATTATAACAATAAACGGTTGTTTTTGATTGTGTCTTTTAAATGGTTAATATAAACAAATTTTATTTAAGTTCATTACCATAATTCGAGTTTTTATAACCCATAATGGTGTTGTTGCTATGGTCGAAACACAACCTGCTATCATGGCAGAAATCATATGTACAAATGAACTATTGACTTCTTTGCCTAAAGTTAAAAATTAACTAATAAAAATTACAATTAGATAAGGTTACTAACCAAGTAAATTAGTCGACCAAGGTTTTAAGGCATGATAGCATGAAAAATAGATTGCCCAAGATGGTAAATACCCTAATATTGTTGGATTTAATCCTCTATATAATCCATTGATTCCTTCTTCTTTAAATATAACCCTTAATGGCGCTAAAAAAGATCAATACTAATTTAGAATCCATTTTGAAAAAAGTACCTATAGCACCTTTATAGTAGGTGGAACCGGGTATAACTTTACTTTGATTTTGTAATCGAGTTTTAACTACATCTAATGGACAAGTTACTATGGATGCTACTAAACCAGCACCGGCTCCAGCTAACGTATGTTTGATTTGTTCACCCCTATATCTATTTTAATTAACTAACTAGGCTAATAATTATTTATAACTAACTACTTTAGAATTCCTTCTGTATTTGGGGGATTGACTTTCATCTCAATATTAAGATCTTTTTTTTCTAAACTTTAGTTCATTTAATTGGATTAATTGGATTAGTTTTAAGTCCTTCTTACCAATTTCTACACCCTAGCATATACCATGCCATATCCTTATCCTTTTATACACCTTCTTTTTTACCTCTCTATTATTTACTTGTTTAACTTTTTTATTTCTATTACTTTCAACCAATTCTTCGTCACTTTTAAAAATCTAAATTTAAAATTTGTTAACCTTTATGCTAATCATAGGAATGTTGGATCTTAAATAGTCCAAGCCATTGGCTTAAAATAGAAAATTCAAGCTAATTAGACCAATCATTACCTCATTTTAATTCTACTTTTAAAAACAATTTAACACAACACAGCAGTCACAAGCTTCAATTTGTTCTAAGGACAAAATTTTACAATAAATAATGTGTCCAATGATTTGAACTTGATTTTTTAGTTAATAAAAAATGTGAAATTTAAAATAATTTGTCAACTGTGGGGTTCGAACCCACGCCTCTCTCGAGATTGCATCTTAAGTGCAACGCCTTAGACCGCTCGGCCAAATTGACTTTATTACATATAAGAAACCAAAAATTACTAATAAATGTATTAAAATTTCTGGAACATTTTTAAATAGATTGAGCATTTGAATCTTAAGCTAAGAAAGGAAAAAAAATTCACTAATTAGATAATTAAATTTTTGATACAGCTGCTAAAGTGAAGAGTGAAAAGCTTAGAGTTATTTGGACGAGTATATAGGAGTTTTTTTGGCTTCATTACTTTTTCCATTTTTAAGCACTATTTGAGCAGAAAATTCGTTAGTAAAACTCTTAAGCGCAAAAAAACATCCCTCTATATTTTTTAATTATATAATATAAAATATATGGGGATGTATTTTTGTATTTGAGGATTTTACTAACAAATTTTCCATTTAAATAGCGCTTAAAAGACGGAAAAAATAATGAAGCCAAAAAAAACATACCCATATGTTTCCTAAAAAATTTACTAACTTTTTTTATTTAGTAAAATATAAAGTTACGTTCATAATGATAAAATAACAAAACTGATGGTTGATAATCTTTATATTACATATAGTAACTATTTTTATTTAAGAACATAGCTTTTTATGACATAACTAACTTTTAAATATTATACCTATCCTTAGTTTTTTATTATTTTATTATTTTATTATTATGAATGTAACTTTATATTCTGTTAGATAGGTTTTATTTTTGTTTTTTATACACTTCTTTAATATAGTTGTTATAAACTTTTTCTCAAACTTTTGGCTTTTTATAGTATAAACCAATTAATTTTTAAGTGTAAAGTTTTATAAAAATTTAAATATTGTTGTTATTTTTTATTATTGTTTTTTATTTTGAAAAGTTTGTAAAAATGAAGTTTTAAATATATAAAATAAAGTAAATAGTAATATAGGGGTGTTTTTTTTGGCTTCGTTATTTTTCCACCTTTTAAGCGCTATTTGAGTGGAAAAATTGTTAGTAAAATTGTTAAACACAAAAATACATCCCCATATGATATCTGTGGAATCTGACACTGAGTGATTGGAGTCAATAACAGCTATTACCTAGTTGACTATAGTATAAGCTGAGAGGTCTTAGTTTATGTGACTAAGATAGACTTGGATTATGAAGAATAGCACGTAATAGGTTACAAGCTATATAAAACAAATAGAATAGACAATACTAATGTAAACCTACGTAAAATACTATTAAGAAAACTTAGTGGCTTTATTAAATGTTCGAGATATCAGGGAATAATTCAGTTAAAAAGCCTCGAACTATACCCTGTAAACTCTTTTATACTCTGAAAAGTATAAATATCAAAATGAGAAGATAATATTTTTTGGGATGGAGCTAGAAATTCTCATAGCAAATCAAACTAAGAACGTAGGATTGATTTTCTCTGAGCTCAAGAACACAACAGCTTAGGCGATTGTTATGCTATAATTAACCATGGGACTGACAAAGTGATATTTCACACTACAGACTATGTAAGACAAATATAATAGATTTTACATTAGTATTGTCTATTCTATTTGTTTTATATAGCTTGTAACCTATTACGTGCTATTCTTCATAATCCAAGTCTATCTTAGTCACATAAACTAAGACCTCTCAGCTTATACTATAGTCAACTAGGTAATAGCTGTTATTGACTCCAATCACTCAGTGTCAGATTCCACAGATATCATATGGGGATGTATTTTTGTGTTTAACAATTTTACTAACAATTTTTCCACTCAAATAGCGCTTAAAAGATAGAGAAAGTAATGAAGTCGAAAAAACACCCCCATATTTAGTTTTTTATTATATTTACTTTTTAGTTTTACTTTTATTTTATATTATTCTAAATATTTACACATTAAGTTAATGGTAATAAAATAATGAGCTTTTAGTTAATAGGTTTTGATAATAATATGAAATGAATGTTAATATAACATTATAAAACCATATTAGCATTTAATTTACTGTTATAAAGTTTAAATAAATAATACATACAACTTATTAAATATTTATTTTGGTTTTATTAAATTTAATATTTATATGGGGATGTTTTTTTGGCTTCATTACTTTTTCTATCTTTTAAGCGCTAATTTGAGTGGAAAAATTGTTAGTAAAATTGTTAAACATAAAAATACATCCCTATATATTATTTACTCACCTTTAGTCAATTAATATTAAATAGAAACTAATAAATAATAATTCATAATGCTTTTGGAGTATTCTTCAATAAAACAATAAATATTTTTATATTTAGTATATTAATTTATTTTTTTATTATGAATTTTTTTCTTTTGATTAATAAGTGAAGATACTTTTTTGGTTTCATCACTTTTTATATTTCTAAGCGCTATTTGAATGGAAAAATTGTTAGTAAAATTTTTAGTAAAACTTTTAAACATAAAAATATATCCAAGTATTTAAATAGTTATTATTCTTACTAAAAAACTTAATTTATTATATATAAAAAATTAAACCTATTCAGACATTAACTATGGTGATAATACATGTTTAAATGAATAAAGTTTTGCAGAAAAATATTAACTAATATTTTAAATTTAAAAATAAACACTTATTAAAAAGGTTAAAAGAAATAATATTTCAATTAATTTAAATCTAGATCCATGTTTGAGATAAAATACATCATCCGAATTAGCTAAAAAAAATATGCATCTTATAAATTTAGGATTCTATGTATTAAAAATACAAAATGGTTGTCAACTGTGGGGTTCGAACCCACGCCTCTCTCGAGATTGCATCTTAAGTGCAACGCCTTAGACCGCTCGGCCAAATTGACTTTATTGCATATAAAAAATTAAAAATTGCTAATATACCCTTCAAATTTTAATTGGAGACTTTAAACATTTTTTTGAATTTTAGGCTAGAAAAATGAAAGAATGTGTTTATAAATTGAATAATGGAATCTATCAATCCTAGTATGAAGTTTTTATTAAAATCGAAGAATTGATGTAAACAATGTTAAACTAAGTTTTTAATGCGTTGCATGGAAAATAACAAGATAGAGGATAGCTTATATATTTAGTAACTATTATTACAAATCTTGAAATTGGTAGATTTCTAGCTAGTTTTGAAATAGATTAAGCTTATTTTGCTTACTTTAAAAACAATGATTTATAATTAAAACTTGATTTGAAGCAAATGAATATTTTTATTGAATATAAAACACCCTCTTTTTTGACTTAGAAAGTAATCATAGTGACCATCCTTTTTCATCAATTGTGGTTAACTTGGACTTTCTAATACCTTGTCAATGATTATTATGAAAATAGATAAATCTCAATGTCTTAGTTTGTAATAAACTTACTAATTCGAAAGGTCTAGAACCAGTTGATTTGAAAAAAGAATGACTTGAAGATGAGCTTTATCTAAAAAAAATTGATTTATTTGCCTCTAGTTTTCATCTATTTTCTTAAGGGGATAAAATGTTTTACTTTTGAAGAAGATGTTTAACATGGCTTAAATATAAAAGTTTATTTTAGAATTTAATGTTTTAGTAGGATTGAAAATAAAAGATTACTGTTAATACAGATTTATTTCAAAATAAAGAACAAAATAATTTACAAAAGATGGTAATTGAATGCGAATGCGAATGCTACTAGGAATTAAATAAGAACTATAGATCAAATAGGAATGAATGAAGATAATGCTATTAAAAAAAAGTATCTAATCAGTATTAGAATCCTAATTACTCATAAGGCCAAACTAAAGATCTTCTTGGATAATTGTTATTCAATTTAGAAGGAGTTAAAGATAATTTAATAGTTGGAGTAAATTGAGTGAAACCGTGTTCATTAATACGATAACCAAATTGAATTACATCATCAAATTCATTACTATTTAAAATATCAATCTCTTGTTCACTTAATACTTTTTCAGATATTAACATTTCTTTAGGTGAACAAGCACTAGCTAAACTTTTTGGTGAACTTGGTGCTGAATGAATATACTTTTCTTTTTTAGCAGTTGTCAGAAAGCTGTTCTTGGGGGATAAGGAAGTGGGAGATAATAAATTCATCCATTTAGACTTTTCACTTTCAATACTATTACTGAATTGTTTCCAACTTGGGTTCAACTTTAGATTATTCTTTTTCTTTTTATCTAAAGTTACTCGTCCCTGGATTTCAATGGGCTTAGAGGGAGTATAATACGAAGTCATAATATTATTTATAAATTTAAATAGAATCAAAGTAGTTAATTGAATAGTATTTATACTCTTCTATTTCAAGAATAGTGTAAGGTTTAAGGATTCGAAAATTGATAGTTATCATAATTATTTTTAACAAATAAAACAATTTTATTTTGAACTTGGCTTACCATTTGATTTAACAGCTGAAACTTATTTTTTCTAATATCTACACCCTTACTATTCTATTTTTAGTTACTTTACTACCTTTTTTTTAGAACTTTTTTAATCATAATTCATTTATCACCCTATTTTGACAATCAGAATATAAATAAAATTAAACTTAAAATACCTTTTATCTCAATTATTTTGTTTATTATTAAGTTCTACTAAGTTAATATATTAAATAAATTAATAAATTTTAAAGATTTTATTGTGGTATTATTAACTCAACAGATTGGCGAAGTTTTATAAATTTTATGTATCTTATTTTATTATTTTAGCGGTTAAATTGTAAGGGGTAAGAACATTTAATGGTTTGTTAACTTTTTTATCCTTAATATATTGAACTCATATACTTATCATTCATATATATTCATACATATTATAATTATTATAAAACATTATGTTTTAATACTTAAACATAAGGATATAACAATCGATGAGAGAATTAATGAGTATTTATTTATTATTCTTAAATTTAAGGAGTAAGTTATACAAATAGTATAGTAATTTGAATATGAAAATATCTAGCTTATAAAATTAGTTTAGTGATCAAACTCTTATTATTACTACGCATTTATTTTTAACTTTTATTTTTCACTTTCCAATTTATCTTTCAATTACATTATTAATACTATAAAAAAAAGTTCTAGTCCATCATAAGTCAAACTCATATTAT